TCTTGTTCAGTAAAATGTGTGCTGAGAATTTCAGCACAAAATGCTGTGAACTTTAGTTATTAAGGTTGGGCTGGGTGGGGGAGTTGTTGTGGAGAGTCATTCTCTCTCCATGTGAGAGAAATGGTACACTGTAGCCTTCCTCATCTCCTATGAGGCTTCCTTCTCTGTCCAGAATTGCAAGCTGATTGACTGCAGACTGGACCTGTTCTGAGCTCTGATCTTGGTCTTCTGGCAAGGGTCTGCCTGCTCAGCAGAGCTGAGCCTCCAGACAGCTACCTGCAAACCTTTGGATGGTTGCCTTGAGATCAGCTAGTCAAAGTCGCTGGCCCTGAGCAATCTCTCCTCAGGCAGAAATTAACCTCCCCAGGCTCAGCGATGGCTTTGGTGGGTAAGAGCGAGTACAGGGGAAAGAGAAGAGGCCAAGAGGACATCAGGCATGAAGTGTTTCCCTTTCCTATTCCAATACCATGGAGCCACAGGAATGCTTTGCTTGGCTGATATTTTTTTTGTTTAGCCACAGTATGTAGTATTTGAGAGCAAACTAAAAAATCACACTGACTCAGAGGCTGTGTGAGGCTCATCCTGTATGCTAGCTGGCTCATTGTTTTTATCCTGGTAAACTTTCAGAGTTTTAGGATCCTTCCTCCCTTTGTTCCTCCCTTTCTCATTTCCTTCCTTCCTCCCCCATGCCTTCCTTCCTCCCTCTCACCCTTCCTTCCTTCCTTGTCTGTCTGTCTTTCTCTCTCTCTCTCTCTCCCTCCTTCCCTCCTTTCCCCTCCCTCCCTCCCTCCCTCCCTTTCTTTCCTTTTGAGAAACAGAAACAAATACAGGGTCACCAACAGGGCTGGGTCCAGACAGCCAGGCCCCTGGGCTCACCCAGCATGTTAAGTTTGTCATGGCATCAGAACTCTGGGCCTTTCCACATGGCCCATAAGTGAACAGAAATGCCCTTCCTCCTGTACCACTGCTGCTGAGCCCCTGGTAATCTTTCTGTTACTGAGTATATGGGAAGGTTATAGCAATACTTCCCAGGCTAGAATAGGCTCTTTGTTTAAACACAGATGTAGCAAAGATTTTTGTTTCCCAGGATGTCAGCATATTAGGACAATTAATGTTGAACTATAATATTTTGACATGATAATAAAAAGAATGGGTAGTTTTATGATAGCTCTTGGTATAAATCTTGAGCAAAGCTATTATGATATTTTTCCATGATAAAATTTGTTTCAATTATATGAAAGACAAATGGGTAGCCTTTGAAGATACTAGGATTTGAAAGATACTAAATGTGCTAGCCACATACATAAAAAGTATTTGGGTTTTGTTTGTTCATTTTTAATTGTCAGAGGTCACATGCCCAAGACAGAGAGACAGAGAAAGAGAGAAAGCCACCCCCAATGGAGCATGGTCATATTGCAATCCCTCCTCCATTTCTCTATCCTGTCAGGATTTTTGACATGTATGCACACAGAGAGACAAAGAGACAGAGAAAGAGAGAGAAAGCCACCCCCAGTGGAGCATGGTCATACTGCAATCCCTTCTCCATTTCTCTATCCTGTTGGGATTCTGGACTTGCATGCACACATGCCCAGCATGTTTTTTCAAGTAGCTGGGCCGGGATTTGAACTGTAATCAGTCATGTGGGATTCAGCTCCCTTAACCACTAGGATCTGAGGTTAGCCTTAAAATACGAAAGCAGAGAATTTGAGAAATGGAAGTAAATTCTGACTCACTCTGTGAATGGTCTGGGAAGATTAAAGTGACACAAGTAAGTTTTTCTTCCGCGTTTTTTCTCTCTTTCTTCCCCTTTCTACCCCTTTTTCTCCTACCTTCTTTCTCTACCTTCACTTTTTTCTCTTCCTTTTGTCCCGTTCATTACTCCCTCTTTTTCCTCCTCTTCTTATCCAGAAACTACTAGAACTTAATGAGTGCCTGGCATCAGACCACATGTGTTTTAATAATCACATGTGGAAAATAATCATTTCTAATAATATGTGAATTTTAATATGTAATACTTATGCCATCGTACATTATAAAGAAACAGATTTGGAATAATAAAGTAACTTTCCCATAATCACACGATTTGTTACTGATGGAGCTGGTGGAGAAAATGAGGCCTCTTACCCCACTGCTCCCCCTGCACCCCGGTACACAGTGAGGGCTCTAGTGAGGGGGTGTTGAGCTTGATGATGGGCTCAGTGTTCATGGTGGAGAATACAGCCAATGAAACAGGTCAGAGGATTTGCTCAAGGACACACAGAGGCCAGTGGCCGTGGAATTTATCCACTTTAATTCCAGGCTACTCTTCTCTCTGTAATGTCCGACCGATGAATAGAGGAAGAGAAATGTTAATTTACTAACTTCCAGAAACAGATACAGGTTCTAGGCTCTGAATTCTTATTTTCCGTGAATTATTTGAAATAGAACTACTAAGCATTGTCAGAGACAATGACAAATTATGTTAGACTAATATTTATTTATAGACTAATATTTATTTACTTATAGATAGAAAATAAAACCATGACAATACTGTAGTAAATGTACTTCCTTGACCCAATGAAACAATTATTTTTTACCAAGAAAATTTTAATTTTAAACCATTGCAGAGTATTACACTGAATTAGTGCTTTCCAGTGTATCAGAAGTCATTGTCTCTTACCCTGACACAGCCATTTTGCTGTTATCCTTAGGGAGAGAGACCATGCTACAAATTGCCTATCTATGGTGGCTGCCACTCTAACCCCTCCCCACCTCTTGTAAAAGTCATCTCAGGCCTTGGTGTGCCTACCCGCTAATAAACCTGCAGCCTTACAGTCTTCCATATATAGGCTGGTTTACTAATCCAGCCCTCAGTCCTGCCAGTTTTAGAAGGAAAAAGACCTTGGAGGACTGGCCCAGTACAGCACAGTGGTTAATCCCTGTACATAAGAAACCAGATCCCACATGGCCAACCCAAGTGCAGATTCCAACCCTAGTGTCTTGAAAAATGCACCAGGTACATGTGTGTGCCCAAGATCCTAATGGATAGAAAAATGGAGGAAAATAAATTGTGACATGATTGACCCCACTGTGGTATGCTCGCGTGCATGCTCTCTCTCTCTCTGGCCAATGCATGTACTCCCTAGCAATTAGAAAAACAAAAGAACCTTTAACAGTCAGTCCATACTTTTTTTGCCTCTATGATCTTCATTTCAAATCTCAGCTCAAATGTTAATTTTTTCAGGAAGTCTCCTTTGCATCCCACTCCACAGCCTTGAACCTGAATAACCTTGCTCTTTGGGAAAGTCCCCAGACATGCTGTGGCTCCCTGTTCAGTCTTACTGTTCTATATGGAATGTATTTGTGACCACTTTCTTGACCCTGATGAATAACTGTAAGATTTTGAAGGTAAAGACCGACTTTTGCCTTTCTTCAGTTTCCTCTCAACTTGTAGGACAATGCTTGTCATGTAGTTGGGACTCAGTGCATGAAGACATTCTTGAGTTTTCGGGCAGGTATATGCCATGTGGTGACATAGGCTCAGAAAGACAAGAATGACTACCACATTTTTCCCATACCTGCTAAATAATACTGGCATATTCTCTGTCAGATAGTTATCCTTCTGTGTGAGGATTTAGTATTCTCAGAAAAGGTGACTTCTAAGCCAGGCTTTGGCAAACGGTGGCCTGTGGGAAGCATCCAGCCTTTGCCAATTCTTGTATCACCAGCCATCTAAGAATGGTTTTTATATTTTTAAAGGATGCAGGAGGTGGAGCAGAAAATAAAACAGAAAGAGAATAACATGTGATGACACATTTAGATTATATTAAATTTTAGGCATAAAAGTAAAATTGGTCAGGCCCTGCTAGAGCAGGAACACAACGTTCTGCAATGCTAGACCCACATGAGAAGTTTCCAGTTCATGTCCCGAGACCTCCCTGTACATACTGATTATACTTGTGCCCATAATCCAGGCTGGCTGAGACTGGGAATGGATTATGGCATGAAGATGCTGTTGGAGGTGCCTTTCTTTCTCTTTCTCTCTCCCTCACTTTCTTCCTTTCTCTCCTTCTCATGGAAGGAATAAATAAAACTTTTTAAAAAGTAAAATTACATGATATGAAATTCAAGTGTCAGCATCCACAAATAAAATGGAATGGAATACAGCTATAATATCCCTTTGTCTATGTATTGTTTAGGACTGTTTTTGTCCCAAAACAGAGTTGAATAGTTACTGTAGAGACTTCATTCCAGAGAGCCTAAAATATTTAGTATCAAGCCCTTTACAGAAAAAGTGTGCCAAGCCCTCTTCTGAGTCATGCTCAGCAATGTTTACCGTAGTGTGAAAAAGGGATGGGTACCCATTTTGACAAAGGGAGGTTGGATGAAGGCACAGAGTGCCTGGAGGAAAAGAAATCTAGAGACAAAGAAGAAAGAAGAGGCAGAGGCTGACTTGGGAATACCACGTCTCCTGGGTTTTGTATACATGAGTTACAAACATCTCCACAAAGGACTCTTAGAACTAGCGGATGTGCCTCAGGGGCAGACCTTGGACATTTTATCTGTGCTTTTTGTTCTCTTTTAAGGATTCTGTATAGTCTCTTTGGAAGAAGAATGAGGTTAGGAGATTTCAGTTTTTCCTTGTTATTCTGTGTACCCAGACTAGAACCTGCAGAAAGTACTAAAGGACTCTATATGCCCCATGTCTCTGATTCAGCTATAATAATGTGTGTATGTATGTGCACATTCTAGGTAAATCAGGTGTGTGTGTGTGTGTGTGTGTGTGTGTGTGTGTGTGTGTGTGTCTTTGTGTCTCTTTGGGGAAGATATTTTAGATAAATGACCATTATCAAAAAACATTAAACATTGGAGTTTTCACTAAACAAAGTTTTCAAATAAAGACAAATTCTTCTGAAATTGACTAAAACAAGTTCAGCCCCTGGGAGAGTTGGAATTATAGTTATTTTTATTTGTTTAAAAATCTGACATTTTCATGTGTTTATCTTGTTTTCTAATTTCAGGGTAACGCCCTGTACTTCAAGTCAGCCAGAAATGTTACAGTGAATATTCTCAATGACCAGACTAAAGTGCTAACTCAGCTAATAACAGGTAAGGAAAGGAAGAATTTAGCATTGCCTGGTTCCTGCTAGACTTTCAGAAAATGCAGAATTGAAAGTCAAATCAAACACCACACGAACTTGAATAGAATGTTTAACACACTTACTGTGTCAAGAAAGAGAATGTAGCATGTATTCCAAGATTCTACTAAAGGATGGAGTCACATCAATATACAAATTGAACTTATCATATTCAAAGATACCTGCTTAGGGAGAAGAACATTTTTCATAGAACATGGCCTTAAAAATACAAGCCAGCTGTTTTATCTGGTACTCAACTAATGATAAGCTCCCTGCTCTAATGCAGAAGGAAAAACTCACTGGGATGGACTGATCGAAAGAGAGCACAACATACACAGAGCCTCACACCACACTTTATGGGTTCTAGAAAAGATTTTAATGATAGTGTGAATTCATGCCATATTTGCCATCCATGCCAACTTTAAACCTAACTCAATCACAAGATGCAGATCGATCTCCTCTGAATAAGTTTGTGTGATTCCTTTTAATACAGCAGATCTGCTCCTAACAGCTGTGGAAAGTACCCACTGGGTTTTAAGCTGCACATTCCTGAAATCTAAACAAGAATTGTTTATTCACAATAATGACCATAGTGATAAGTGTGGACCTCGTGGCCATGGTAATGTGTTTGGTGGTGTGATCAATAATGATGATACTGATAAGCATAGACCTTATGATAACATGTTTGGGGATATGATCAATTCACCCCTATTGGTTATAATATAGGAGGCATTTTGCATCCCCATAATGTACAGGGAACAGGGGATGTATGTCTGAATGACATTGTTACACTTCCCAGACAGAAATGCCATTTGTTTGGCTTTAGCACTAAGAGAAAAGTACACAGATGGAAATTTGTGAAGCCAGTTGTCTGAATGCCCTGAAACAGTACCGTGACTAAAATATCTGGAGCCCCAATAATAAGCAAACTCTGGGGAAACAGGTGCCTTTGTGTCAAGAGTCATTTTGTGCAGGAAGAGAGCCTCCCTCCCTACCTCCCTGGATCTCTGCATATTGATGTCTGCAGAGTCACATCCAGTAGGTGATGTGGAGAAACTCAAGAATTGAAGGAACCACTCACGACAGAGCCAATAATCCATAAACACGTTGTTTTAGCATGCAGCTGGATTGTTGGCCTTGCTTATATAACATCTGGCCTGCAGTCACAATGCTAAATAATTAAATAAACAGCTTCAGTAAGCAATGATTTAAGCGGCATGTGTGAAAATTGCCTCCAGGAGAGAAATAAATCCAACCTCCAGCTCCTGGATTCCCCCATTCAAAAGGAACTTATTTAGCCTGTGGACCATTTGGCATTTATTTGCAGTGGGAGATCTGGCTTCCTCAGAGATTTTGTTTTGATAAAACTGGAACTACCCAAATGACTATTATTCAGAAAAAGAGTCTATCCATCTCGTCCCCTTCTCCTTCCTCTCCATTCTCTCCTCTCTCCATTTTTTCTTCCCTCTCATTTCCTCTCCCCCTTATTCTTCCTCTCCACCTCTCCCCCATACCTCCTCCCCACCTCCTGCTCTCCTTTTCTCTCCTCCCATCCTCCCTTTCCCTCTCTCTCTCTTCCTGCCCTTTCTCTTCTCTTGCCTCTCCTCCTCCCCTCTGCCTCTTCTTCTTTCCCCTTCTCCCTCACCCTCCCTCTCTAGCCTTCACCTCTTCAGCAGTCTTTGTCTTTCTGCTGCCTTTGAGGGAGCTGGAAAACACCTATCTCTCTCTTAAGTTACCTTTGTGTTTTTTTTTTTTTAAGGTTTTTGTTTATCATAGAGCACATGCATGCACCAGAAAGAAGAAGACAGTGAGAGGGAAAGTTAGAAATCACAACCTGGGGGGATGGCCACTCTGTAATCCCTTCTCTTCCATTCTCCTCCTGGGATGATTTTCAAACTACCATATCCAAGACTCGAACCCTAGTCCGTCATGTAGAAGTCCAACAGCTTAACCACCATGCCACTCTCTGTCCCTAATCTTAAGTTAACTCTTAAAGCACAAGATAGCTAATATTAAAATAAGATGGGCAAAAAATCATTTTAATACTAGCTGTCTAGAGACTTTAAGATCATTTCTAGACAGGATAATAATGTGTTAAAAATGTAATTGTAAACACACAAACACATACATAACTACCCCACACCACTAAAGCTTTCCTCCTCCATTACATTTACACCATGGTGGAAAGCAACCAGTTGGCCCAGCAGACACTGCCTTCTAATGCCTATTATACTTGGTGGTTTCTTTCTTGGAAAGCAAATTACTATAGTCTTCTAAGGATTCAAGAGATAGAAATAGTTTATTTGATCAGTTATTGTTGTATATTTATGTTAGTTTATGTATAAATAAACAGCAGAGGACACCCCCAAGAGGGACTTCACACCAAGCTCCATCTCTAGCCTCAGCCAGCCTGGATCATGGACATGCACGTGTGCAAGCCTAGTGTGCACAGGGTGGCCCAGGAAAGCAAATCTGGGACCTGCTCACGTTGGTTTAGTTGTGTTACTGACATGCCATTGGCAGGAATAGGAAGTTTATCCTTAAACTTTTTTTTTTCCTAGGACCAGCAGTTTTCATGGTAGTTAAGGTACTGGACTCTTCAATAGCCAACCATGGTTGGAGTCCCGGACATGGTGGCTTGAAACTCATGCTAGGCATGTGGGCATACCCAAAATCCCAGGAGGTGAATGGAGGAACAGGGATTGTGGTATGGCCATCCCTCCTGGGGGGTGGGATGGGGGGTGGTGATCCCTCACTTTCCCTCTCACTGTCTCTCCAGTGAATTCATGTGCCCTATGGCAAAGGAAAAAATAAAAAAAACCTTAAAAACACAGAATTTTTTCTTTCCTTTTTGGTCGTTGTTAATTACCTTACCACACTAAATGTCAGGTGTCATAAACAAGCAAACAAATGACAACAAACAGTACTCTCCTGCTTATCTAAAGACTATGTCAAAGCCCATTAGGAATTCGAATGTTAGAAATGTGGGTAATCTTTTCACATGCAACTATGATTTAAATTATAATTCAGTTCTGCAGTTAAGTCACAAATAAATATTTCACCCATAGTACTGCTGACTTAATATCTCAGGAGTGGGTTCAAGCAGGGAACTCTCTGACCCACAAGTAGGAAAGCAGTAGGAGTGCCTTCCCCAGAATATGTTGGGGTGAGGAAGTATCAAGGGAGTTGAGAGCAGAAGTCAGGCTGGATGGCCATCAGGCCTTGCCAGCTCCCAGCTGGTGGTGGTAACATACTTGGAGACTGCTAATGCATCCTGATGGGCTCCAGTTCTCCTCCCTACTTAGGAGATTAATTAAGGAGGCACTTCACATGTAGGCTATCCCACACAGGGGGGATTAACAGAAGATTAGTTTCCCATTAGGAACAGTGATATTTTTTTCCATCCCAAGAGGAACAGTGGGTTCACTGAGGGACCTCTTAAGGAGTCTGCAGCTCTATTTGCATTTTGCTGTAGTCACTTTTTAAGATTCCAGCCATGTCCAGAGAAATGTGGCAGCCCCAGGTGAAACTGACAAAGGACAAGCCATCTGCACTGTGGAGTCAGCAGTTGCTCAGTGACGTTTTGGCTAAAACTACCATTTACTGAGCTTCAGATACCCAAATGGTCTGGCCCTGGGTAAATTCCATTCTGTGTTCTGTGAAGCCCTGAAAAGGAAGATAACTTGATTATGCTTTGTGTTTTCTGATTGCTGTAGACTTAAATACAGGTTTCTTTTATATATGCCTCCAAACTGTTCATGAGCTCAAAGTCAACTTAGTTTATTCAGAGGCAGGTGTCCCTGACTCCTCTGGAGCCAAAGCTGATGATATCACCAAGATTCACTGTGGCAAAATCCCAGCATTTGTGTCTCCCCACATCATACCCCACTTTGCCATATGACTGGATCCAGAGTGAGCAAATAGTGCCCCCTTCCTGCAACCCTGAGGTCATTCCTTCATTCATTCATAAGCACTTCATTACGTCCCCATTCCAAATCCCCACCATCATTTAACAGCAGGTAATTATCCTAAAGGTTGACAAATAATATTGACTTTATTAGAGGCTTCAATACAGTGAAGAAAATAGCTGCATCTTAACCCTGGCATTAAAAAAAAAGAAAAAAAGAAAAGAAAAGGAAAAGGAAATAAAAGAATCCAAATTCCTCATTATACATCTCTCTTCTCCAAGGTCTCTCTCTGGATCTTGGACCTTATCTCTAGTTTCCTACGTTCCCCCTTCCTCAAAAAGCTCATGTACTAGCTGTCCAGATGTACTAGATCCATGCCCCTTTGCCTTTCTGGGCAAATACATGTCCTACTTCTGTCGAACCATTCCTAGAGTTTGACTCCAGACCCAGATCTGATCTTGGCTTTCTTGGTGACCTTGAGAGAGCCCTGTCCTCCCTCACTGCAACTTGTTCTTACAACATGAAAGGAGTAAGACAAGAGAATGTCCAGGTCCTAGGCTGATTGGAGATTTTGTACTCTCTCTGCTATTGCAATCTCTCAACTCATTAAGGAGTCCTTCCAATGTCCTTTTGTGTGTCAGAAGCCTAGTGTGGATGTAAGAACAAGAGATGAGGTCTACCAAGCCAGCATAATTATGTCAAGAATGAAAGTGCACTAAAAGGTACTCATCTTTTTTATTTTTAGTGTATTATAATCATTGCCATAGAAAAATGGTGATGGTATGATGATGATGAGGAGGACCACAAGAGCATTCTCCTGTGTTTCCGTGGCACACTTACACCTGCTGAGAGTTCTCTTTATAAACACAGCATCGTTTGATTTTTTTCTTGTTGTTGTTTTTATGAGGTAGGTAGAGTAGGCAGTGATGATCCAATTTATAGAAACTGAAGTTCATAAAGATCAAGTAACTTGCCCAAGGTCACATTACCAGAAAGTGAGAGGCAGTCAGGACATTTTTTTTTTCTGATTCCTAATTCTATAGTCTTGACAAAGAGAAAGTCTATCCCAGGCGTTCAGGGACTAGCCTGGCCCCGTCAGTTAAGCCTTATTGAACATAAACAATTTTACTGAACTTCAGCATCGATGAGGCCACATTCAATGGCCCTGAAGGATTAAGACAAAAGAATATACACACACACACACAAATACACAAAGACTACTCTGATCATGTCTGAGCACCAACAACACATAAACATTGTTCAGACCACAAAAAGATTAAACATCTCCCTATCTTGGCTGATATGAGTGAATGCTGTTTAACAATGAGAATTTTGGCATTGTTCTGGTCTTTCCTACCTCTAGGTAATATTTATTAAGATACCAACTGATGGGACCAGCAGTTAGTGTAATGGCTATGTCACTGGATTCCCATGTAGTCCACCACTGTTCCAATCTCAGACTTGGTGGCTTAAACTCACGCTGAGCACATGTGCGTGCATGCCCAAGATCCCGAGTGGAGAATGGAGGAGAAGGGATTGCAGTGTGGCCATCCCCCCTGGTGGGGGTGATTTCTCGCTTTCTGTCTCTTTGTCTCTCTCTGTCTGTCTGGCTAGCACACATGCCCTATAGCAAAATCCTCTCCAAAAAAAAAAGATACCTACTGATGAAATGACTCCCACTTCCATGTCTCCTTAACCCATCCTCTGAATAACTTAATATGAGGTTAAATCCCATATTTTTTTTTCTCCCCTAACAACTTCTTACTAGTTACCCATGGTATTCTTTCTTCCTCACTGCAAGGAGTAATAAACCCCACTTGGTCAACAAGAGGTGTTTTCCTAGTGGTCTTTGACTGGAAGGCATTAAGAACCCCTTCATTACTACTTATGAAGTACCACATTCTTGAAAATACTTAAAAGGAAGCAAAAGTGCTATGTCAAATCTCCTGAATTGGTGAGAATATCCAAGATTTCTGGACTTTACCCTCAAACTTTTCTGTAAATATTTCTAGATCAAAAGATAAATTCATTTGATTCTCGCTAGGTTCAATGAGGACAATTAAACCCCACTTAATTCTGATGCATTTCTATAGACCAGCTTTTGAGAGCCACCTAAACTATAGTTATTGAGGCAGATAGTTCAAGATCAGATGATCTCTTTTTAGCAGTTTAACACTTAACCTGTTTTGCTTATTTTTTTTATAATAGTAGTTAAAGCTCTCTTCAGTTTTCTGATTTTTCTATTAATAATTTATTTAGCTTACATCTATCATTCTCTACCAGAATAAAGATGCCATGAAATCAGGCACCTTGTCTTCATTATGTACCGCTATAGTGTCATCTTCAAGTACAGCGTCTGTGGTCCTTTGACAAACCCTCCAAATTTATTTTTACTGAATGAAGTTCTAACATAAGAGATTCAACAACTTTCAAGGCAATTAATTGCAATATATTATAGCTCTTTCTGCCAGGAAGTGATCTATATACTGAGAAAATAGACTTGTCTTGGTGTCAGATGCAGAAAAGTGGGTCAAGGGTACAAGATCAGACAGATTTTGGCTGAATTTAAAGGAGTCCTTTACAACTGTTAGGGCTGATCAGAGATAAACACTTGCCTCATGAGTAGTGAGCTTCCTATGCCTTGATACACTCAAGCCAAAATGTACAACCATCTCCCAGTATTTCGTGGCTTGCTAAGGGAAATATCGTTCAAGCATTAGTTTTGAGGAAGGACTTGAGGGTCTTTAATACCATCATCTGACAGAATGTGATTAAAAGTCATTGATAGACATGTCTAAACTCATGAGACTAATTTTTATGGTTGGCTTCTGAAAACCAACCCACTGAATACTGAAGTCTTACACAATCTTATCACATGTATATGTTCTATAAAAAACTTTCTGCAGTCAAATGAAGTGAAGCTAATGTATGCTTTTCCCTCTCCCTCTCCTCTCGCTCTTCTTCCTCATAGGTCCAAAAGCCATAGAAGCTTATGGCAAAAAGTTTGAGGTAAAAACTGTTTCTGGAAAATTGCTCTTCTCTGCAGATGACAATGAAGTGGTAGTAGGAGCTGAGAGATTAAGAGTTTTAGGTAAGAAAATTTTAAATATTTTTATTGATTTGTTGCTTTTATGTATATTTTAGTGAAATATGAAATGTGAAAGCTTGTTAGGGACTGAATATATGAGTTTCTCCAAAATTCGTTGTTAAAACTGTAATCTCAATGAGATAGGTAATTGGAGGGGCCCTTTGGGAAATGATAAGGTCATGAGGGTGAAAGCCTCATGAATGTCATTAGTGGCCTTCTAAGAAGAGACCAGAGAACTAGCTGTTTTCCACCATGTGAGGATACAGCAAGAAGGTGGCCATCTGCAATCTAAAAGAGAACCTAGCCATACTGGAATCCTGATCTTAGACTTCCTGTCTCCAGAGATGTGAGCTGTAAATTTTTGCTATTTATAAACCACCCAGTGTACTTTGTTATAGAAGACCAAACTAAGATGAATTTGTCTAGAAGAGTGATAAAGGCCAATTATCTAGATTCTTATAAAGCAAGATTGTTGAACTTTCCAAGAGCTTGGTCCTCTGATGAAAGTTTCTCAAGTTGTGAAGTTTTTATGGCATATCTTCCATCACTGAGCTGTGGGTGGGGCTGTGTGCTCATGTGAACATGCATATTGGAGCACTTTATACCCTCACATTGTATGAAGCAAGACTTATGTACATGATGCAGTGATTCCTAAACCTGGTTGCAAAATAAGAATGATGTAGAGAACTTCTGAAAACTTTAGTTTTATAGACTCAACCATGAGTTACTGAATTAGAAATTCTGGGGGGAAGGCCTAATAATTTATTATTAAAAACATTCGTGGGGCAGGCCATATGGTTGCACCGTGGTTTACCAACACTCTACGAGTCCCACCCACCTGGGAGGGTTCTGGATTTGTGTCCAGAGACCTCAGTGAACATACCAGGTGTGTGCATGTCCATGATCTGAGGCTGGCTGAGGCTGGAGGTGGAGCACCCTGCTGTAGTAGCATGAGAACACTAGCATGAAGGGGGAAGGGGTGCCTCTTTTACTCTCTCTTGCTCATTCATGAAAGAAAGAGAAATTTAAAAGATACACACATTTGCAGTAATTTCTAAAGAATTGCTGTTAGAATCATTAAATTGAAGCACCATGGCTTTACACTGAAATAATCTCAAGTGGTGGTTTAAGAGTATTGGGACAAGAGTTGACTTTTAACCCCAGCTGTCGCCTACTCGCTTTCAGGAATTGGGCAAGTTATAGCCACCACTGAGACAACTTCCTTTTTTGCTCAATTGGGCTAAGAACCTCTACCATCTTCAGTTGTCCCTAAGGCTAAATAAGACCATGTTATAAGCACTATCACAGTGTCTAAAGCAGAACAGAATTTCATCAAGGGTAGCTGCTGCTGTCACTGTTACTACTTATGGTAATATTACTATTAATGCTAATACTTCCTTTTCTTCCCTTACTCCCTAATATTTACTATTAACATAGTAGCTAAAAGTTTAGGCTCTGGAATTAATTAATATATTTAAACTCATTTCTATCCTTTACTAGTTGTGTAGCCTTAAGCAAGTGTTCTAACCTCTCTGTGCCTCTTTGCTTACCTGTAAAATTGGTGTAATAGAAGTACATAGTGAAGGGGCCAGCAGTGGCATAGTGGTTAAAGGTGCTGGATTCCCACATGGCTGACCACAGTTCAAGTCCCAGACCTGGCAGCTTGCTTTCTCACTTTCTCTCTCCCTCTCTCTCTGGTCAAATTGAAATAAACCAATGAATAAATAAATGAATAAAGTTAAATGAAAAAAAATTTAAAAAGAAATACATAGTGAATAAAAATTCAATGATCTAATTTGTGATTGAATAAAATAATCTATGTAAAGTAGTAAGTGGCTAACATAGTCCAGTGTTCGGTAAGGACTAGCTTTTATCTTAAATTAGGAGGATGATGATATTTTTTTTTACTTGAAATTGTTATTTGTCCTCTGTGTTATTACCTGTACTCTGTATCTTCCTTCTCTTTCACTACTCCTGTCTTCTCCCTGACCCTCTTCTCTATCCTTAGTCAATCAGCCTATCTAATCTATGTGCCTGTTTCTTTCTCTCAATACATATTCATGTCTAAGCTCTGTGCTAGATAAGTCATAGAAGGCCATACTCCACCCTGGTATCTTCCCTGAGTTCTAGATCTTCTTCTTCACCTAGATATTCTACCAGCCCTTTAAGCATAATGGGTCTCAAGTGCCTAGCATAATCACTCATACACATATTCCATCACCCTCCCCTCTCCCACCTGTATTTGTCCGTGACATCCCTATCACTCTTACCAGTATCACTGTGTTCCCTTCTCCTATCCTTAAAACTTCAGCATCTTCCTGGCCATCATCAGATCAGCAGTGTCAAAGGATGGAAGTGACCATTCTTAGGGGGCTGAATGGAGATGAGAATGCAGGGGATGGTCTAATCTCTGGTCAATGGCTTACCTACGTTATGAACTGGAAAAGATTTTTGTTTTTCAGGGCCTGCTTTTACTTCTGTTTGTAAAATGAGAATTATCTAGTGCAGAAGTGTTCAGATATTTTCTAGTGACAGTCACTTTGAAAAAGAAAATTTTGAGAAGAGCAGGTGGCGTAATGGTTATTCATTGCACTCCCACATAGTTTACTATGATTGGAGTACTAGACCCGGTGGCTCAAAAATCACCAGGTGCATGTGTGTGCAAAATCCCATGAGTAGACTGAGGAAAAGGGATCATGGCATGGCCATCCCTCCTGGGCGAAGATTTCTCATGTCCTGTCTCTTTGTCTCTTTCTGTCTCTCTGGTAAGTGCATGCCCCCTATAGCAAAAATCACTAAAAAAAAAAAGAAAGAAAATTTCATACGTAGCCCCAATAAATAATGAACCAAGATTGCTCTGGATTATGGGTGAAGGTTTGGAAAGGGAAAGATCAGACATTGGAGTCTTTGTGGCATGGTTTTATTTTTTTCTCCTATGTTCTTTGGGGACCATTTAGAATTTTTTCTCTTAAGCACATTTTCTTTTCCATCAAAGAAAGAAAAAGAGAGACAGAAAAGGGAGACAGGGAGAGAGAGAGGACGAGAGGCACCCCCTAAAAGACTCTTGACACTGCAATCCACTCTCAATGCTGGCCACCAGGATCAGGGCACACATGTGTGCCTACAATCTATAGAGGGAAGTCTTGAGATCTGAACCTGGAACCTTCCCATGTGACTTCAGCATCACTGAGTTGTGCCACATAAAGTGTGTATGTTGTACTTGTAATGGAGATTTTATGCCTGGTCATTTAAGTGTTTTATTTGTTTTCTGAAATGAGATGAATGTATTTTTCTAAACACTATGCTAAATAAACTTTATCTTAATTTTAAAAAAGAAACTTATTCTTAAAGCCTCTTACCTGAATAATCTTAAAAAATATTTAAGGGACCAAGAGTTAGCATAATGGCTATGTTGCTGAACTCCCATGTAGTCGACTGCAGTTCAAATCCTGGACCCAGTGGCTTAAACTCACGCCAGGCACGTGTGCGTGTGTGCCCAAGGTCCTGAGAGAAGAATGGAGGAGAAGGGATTGGGTGTGGCCATTCTCCCTGGGGAGGGCGGGGTGATTTCTCACTTTCTGTCTCTCTGTCACTCTCTGGTGAGTGCACATGTCCTGTATTAAAAAAAAAAAATTAAAAAGTTGATTGACCACTTGACCAGGCCCCATGCATTATTTTACTTGTAACTCACACATACCTTGTAAAGTAGGCACCATTTTACCCCCCCTATTTTACAGATGACAGAACTGGCCTAGAGAATAGGTCATAGGCAAGAGTGAGTCATATAAAGACTGAGAACAAGGAGTCCCAGCCAGGTATTCTCTACACAGAGTGCTTTACTGCAAAGCTCTGTGCTTTGCTGCCTCCTCTACTCATCCCATTTTCAGATAAGGAGACTAAGGCTTGAAAGGTGGAGAAACTTGGCCAAGATTAAGTGCCAGGAAAGGTAGGATTGGCATTCAGATCCCTGCCTGTGGATATCAGCCTCAAGGCACTTCATTACTCAAAACTATGTTGATTCTAATACTTCTTCTAATTCTCCCAATGAATACTTTTTTCTCTTTGTGGAAATGACATTTTTCATATTCTAGGTGGTGGGGGGGTGAGGGAGTGGGGAACACAAACTCTTCAGGCTATGCTCTTCTTCAAGAGTACTTTGTTATCAACTAAAATAATTTCCCAAGGGAATGAGCAGTGGTAGCTCATGCCAGGATCATTTTGTACGAAGGAGTTTGGCACTTCCCAGTAGTCTTTGGTGCTTCCTGAGTCACCTTTCTGCTTTAAAATCTGACTTTGCAAAGACACAGGGTACTTTTAAACAGTCAAACACTGGCTTAAAATTAGTGTACGAAACTCTGTGATAGTATCATTTAAGAACTTATCCCATCCTACCCATCCCCCTGGTTACTTAGACTCAAGACTAGAGGATGACTGTAGTTTTCTGTTACTTCAAAGCAGGTGGATGCGTTTGATGTCATTTGTGATATTTCATTTAGAAAATGATGGCGGAGAAGATCTGTCCCTCTCCATCATTAAATAGATGCATTTGCTTTTTTATGTAAAAATATAGATAGGAAGCATCAAATTAAATACCACTGCTGCTATCAATGCTGAAAAGATTTGGAAATGACCACCCCACAAATCGCTCATCAACCCACTCAGTAAAATGAGTTCAGTGTGTTGCAGAAATGAGCTTCCTGTCAGCTGGGATTCAGCCATATGGTGTGGAACGAGAAGTTTAGGCAATCTCATTTTCAGTTTAATGAGAAGTTTGTCTTTTTGAGTTGTCAGCCATACAAACTCTTGGGAGGGCTGAATCTGGATGCATATTTCATGGTAGCATCTTACAGAGCTGGGTTTGAGTTCTTGCTCAACCACCTGGATCTGAGAGACCCTATTGAATTCTGTTTTTCTCTTTAACCTTCCATTTCCACCTGTCTAAAACAAAAAGAAGAGAATGAAATAATGAAGGGAAGGAAAAATTAATGAACAAGAACCATATA